CTTAATACTTCGCCAGGACTCACTGACCGTGATCCACATTCACCGGCCCAGCCTCGGCAGAAGATGTATGAAAAATCAAATTAATTCGCTTTACATTTCTCCACATTTGTATCTGTCTCTCTAGTACTTTTCCTTTTTCAGCCTGCTCTCTCTTTAAAAATGAGCCGCAGAGTTCTAATACATTTTTTTTTTTCATGGTAACCCTGCACTGGGACTATGTATTCTGCAATAAATAATAAAGGAGATTAATAATTAAATAAAAATGAAAAACCACTTGTTCTCTCTCCAAGGCCCAAGGGACAGCTTTCCTGGGTTGGTGCCAATTTATCAATGACAATTAGAGAATATGAGCTAGAAGTAACACAGAGGAGAAAATATCATGGAAGCGAGATGATCTGAACATGAAAAAAACCTGAAAACGATGGGATGGTGATAAAAGGTAATAGCACAATGGGTAAACTCCTAAAAATTATAACCCAAACCTGTTGGGGGCTTACGATATACCACACTGTATTCTAAATACTTCCATGTTTATCCAATCATTGAGAATTATAAGAGAGAGATGGTTCTTCCCCTTGACAGGTGAAACACTGAGGCATGAGGCACAGTGAGTACTCTGCTTTCTCCCAGCCGCTCCTGTGCCCTCTTGGCCTTTCTAAAGTCTGCTTAGGTGTTAAGGCTTTCTGGGCAGTCTCCGAGAAAGCGCCCAGGCAGGGCAGGCGAGTCTTCCCTCACAGCTTCCTACCTGAGGGCTGGCTTGCACTGGCATTTTTGAAGTGACTTTTTTAAGTTCTATCAGTAGAGGCCTCTCTCCACAGTGAGCGAGGCAGCCAGATTTGGAGGGCGAAATGTGCACGGCCGGTGCGGGCTGGGGGTCTCCACAGCCCAGGGTAGCAGCCTGGCCCAGCCTTTGTTGATGAGGTACTGTGGGCTCGGTTATCCCCTTGTATGCCAACTGCACAGGCAACACTTCTGTGGAGAGGTGGGGCGCAACTTTAGAGGACAATTCTGAGAACAGCATCTGATGCGGTCCTGGCTCCTGTCTGCCCCTCCTGTTCCTTTGTGAGCAGCAAGAAATAATACGGACTTCAGGGCTTATGTCGCTGTTTTTTTTTTTTTTTTTTAAAGATTTATTTTATTTATTTATTTATGCATGTGAAAACTGGGGTGTAGGTTAGAGGTGTGGGGTAGCGGGTGGTGAAAGCACTTACCAGAGACAGAATGGGAGAACAGTCAGAGATACCGAGACTGCTGAGGGGAGCAGCTGGTGAGACAGGAGATGTTTGCTGTGTCATGTGGGTCAACTCCTTGGCTAGGGATTGAACTTGTGCTGCAGTGGCTGATGATAGCTTGATAGTGCTGAGACATTAACCCCTGAGTGACCGGGAAGACCCAAGGCCTATGTGATTTTAAGGTAGGGAGCCTGAAATATGACAGAAGGTGGGGTGGGCAGCATATGTGACTCCCAAGAACCAACTCTCTGGAGAAAAGGAAGAGCACCTGGAAGTGTGGCATGCTCTCTCCCAATTCCTCCATTTCCCTTCTCACTCCCCTACCCCCTGGCCTCTCTGGCTACCATAGGGTTGACCCTTGGTGACCAGGAAGTGCTGATGCCACCTATAAAATGGGTCACATTATCCATGACCTTTGCCCCTCAGCCTGCTGTCATCTGGAATGATAATGGGGCTTAATATTTAAGCAGCAGCCAGGATCTCCAGGGTCATGTGTGGAAGGTTGGCGCTGATATTTAATGTAACACGCCTGTTGGCAAGGGTGGCTGAGGTCCTGGGCTCCGCAGACTAGAATAGCTCTCTTATCAGAATGTCAAGGTAGGAGAACTAGATAAGCCCAGCTTCCCTGGCAGGGCCAGTGCTCCCCCCCCCTTGCCCCCCCTTCCACCCTTACCCCCCCACCCCCATACACAGCAGCCAGGCCTTCAGGAGGGAGAAGCTGTCTTGTTCATTTTTAAATAGCTCCAGAGAACACCTCTTCATGAGCCTCTTAGAAGAACACATTCAAGTGTTCTTTCTCCAAGCGCCTCGCTATAATCTTTTGTGTTTGAACTCCCATCCTTCTTATCTTGTCTTTAGTTTCTCATGGCTGATGGTCGTTGCTGACCTCTGAGGGTGGGCGGCTCTCAGGAACAGCGTCTGCTCGCTGTGCCTGTCTGAAGCTCAGGCACAGCAAACATTTGAATCTAAAAAATGGTTCTTCATGCTACCTACTGGGCTCCTGCACCTCCTCCGTTCTCCCAGTCATCCAGTCTGAATATTCAGTCAGTATCACTCAGAAAATGCAAGCGAACATCCTAAACGGAAAGGATAGACCAGCTCGAATGTTCACATTCAAAGGTTCTCAAAAGTTATTATCCCCAGCCCACACTAGGTGACCAAACAAAGCACGGTAGAAATTTTAAAACAAAGACCTGAATGAAGTACACACAGTTTCCAAATAGGTGAGAGCAGTCCAGGCCTTCATAATGCTTAAGCTCTGACCAGAGAAGGGTTGTGGAATCAGGTCACTTTCTGAGCAAATGGGACCTGGCAGAAGGGCACTGGGGTGGCCTCTTCCCTGCTGTGGAGTGAATTTCACCTGGTGACCAGAGCAGTTTCTGCCTTCCTGGTCAAGAAGCCCAGGTGGGAGCTAGCTGAAATCACCCCGAGATCCTCTGCTTAGAGAGGCGGGAGCTGAGTGGTGCTGTGACCATCTTACTGATGCTGCTGCTGGATTCACAGAGGGAAGAACTCCCCTCCCCTGGGTGTGAGCTGTGTCCCCAGGGGACCCTGCTTGGGGAATCCCACTGAGCTCTGACTTATCAGCCCCAGCCAGCCCTGTGGCCGGCCTGGATAGCACTGGGTTGGTGCTAAGCGGGTCCTTCTCTGCTTGCTTCATTTTCTGGCAGCTGCCCTCATGGCTGTCTGAGTTCATTCTCTGTCTAACACAGGCATGCTGCTTAAATAAGAATTGCGGTCCATGGGGAAGAGGAGCAACTTCTAGAGGTTGTTGAGAGGACAGAAGGAAACTGTGTCTAAGATGTCACATCTAGGAGGAGAGCCAGATGGTACATCTAGAACATGGCCTGGGAAGAGCAGGAGCAGTGGACTTTGATGGAATACACAGAAACGCTCTTAGGGGATTTTCTCCTTTAATGCTGGCCCTGGTGCTGTTCCGATAATTTATGCTGTTGTCATAATTTATTATCCATCTCATAATTAATGGACAGAATCTGATAAGTGATAAACACTTGATAAATGCCAAGAGGTGTTCCTCCCAAGGTAAAAGAATGCCTTTGTAAGTCTCTACTCGGGGACCATAGTTTCAGGTTGTTTGGGTTCAGGGTGGTGCAGGGGAGCTGGATGAGGGAGAGGGAGATTGGGTGGGATAATGTCAATACCAGTGAAAGGAGAAAAAAAACAATCCCCTCACATACATCAAAAGCACAGGAACACATAGCGGGCATTCCATACATGACAATTCCTTAATAATTCAGCAACTAGTTCACCTCCACCCACCAGGGCTTACGCCGAGCAGAGGGATGCCTCGTCCAGTCCTATCAATACTTCCAAATCTCTGTCAAGCTGATGCAATATTTTCATGTCAGTCTCTAACAAGGGTCTCTCCTCCCACAGCCCTGGCTCTGCTTGGCTCTTCCAGCAGTTTCTAGGAAGTGCCTCATCCAAGCAGATGATGTGATTTACACTTGGGTTTGAGGAAAAGGTGTGAATTTGAGAAGCTCAGAAGACCTCTCAGGGCTAATGTTTGATAGTGGAGAGACTCTGGCTTTGAAGTCAGAGGACAGGGCTTAGAAAATCTAATTCTGCCTCTTACTGGGCCCCAGGACTCCCAGCACTGATCTCGTCTATGAGGCTCCTGCTTCACGGGACTGGTATCCAGATGAATTCATACGAATGTCTAGTTCAATACTTGGCTCCATAACTATTAACTTCTTTTCATTGCCTCGCTCCCACATGGAAAAGTGTTTTGTGAACCGGAAAGTCTTATGACACATAGCTTAGTGATGAAACAAAAGTGGGTTAGAGTCAGACCCGAGTGGGAAGCTCACTTGTTAACTGGGTACCTCTGGCAAGTTCCATAGCCTCCTGAATTGCAATTTTCTCACCTATAAGCTGAAGGCATAATTATGAGCTTCACTGAGAGGACTGGAAGAGAACAGAGCTCTTAGTTTAGTCTGTCTCAAAGCAAGAACAGGTCTCTTGTCTGAGCGGGTGCTCAGAACAGGCGCCAGCTGCCTGCATACAACCTGATGTTTGGGGACCAGACCTGGTTTGGGGAACTTTGGGGGCCTGAACAGGCACTGACACTGCTGAAACTGGCTGCTCCCAGTTCTATTTGCGGGAAGGCTCAGGCAGCTCCTAGGGCGGATACACGAGCTTTTTGGGGAGAGTGGGAATAGTGACCTTGCCTTTCTCTATTTCCCTCTCCTGCCCTGGGAGCTTGATCCCTCGTCTTTCTGGAACCATTTGAAAGATATTTAAAAAGAGGTAGGGAGGCATGCAGGAAGGTCTGGGCAGCAAAGAGGGCAAAGTAACAAGGACTTGCTTTCACCTTGGCCAGACTTAAAAGGGAAAGCACGATTTGAGGCTCAGGTTGACAGAACTGGTTGCCCCTCCCTGGCCCTCTACACCACACGGCTTAGAAGACAAAGCTACAGCCCAGGATCCAAAGGCAACAGCACTCTCCTTCCACTGCCCTGGACTCTTGCAACACCCATGGGGGCGATCACCGTCCCAGATATCAGAACACAGACGTTTCCAACCCCTGAAGGCTGAACCCCCAGCACCCAGGATATCTTGCCACTAAGACATCTCTGATTTCCTAGGTCAACTTTGTACCTGCTCTAAACCCTTCTCTGTCACCCTGGCAGGTGCCTGGCAAGAAAAGCTAGCCAACGCGGGTGATGGGCACCTGCGAGTGTCTGTCCCGCCTTCCCTAACCTGAGAGCTGGGGGAGAAATAGCGGAGGAAAAGAAGGCAACTTACTTGTTGAGATTCGAGCTTCCCAGTCCCACTGATGCTAACTTCTGGGGTGTCTCTTTGAGCTGGTGTTGTGGGTATTCAGGGCCTTTCAGGGGACTCGCCTGTCCCAGGCATTACCGCAGCTTCAGATTTCCTAGAGTCTCTTCCGTTGTATCAGGTATCAGCCAAAGCCTCTTGTCCCTTCTCTGCCAGCCCCTTCCGTCACTCCCTCTAGCCGGAGCTGCTAGAGAAGCTGGACTCTCTCTCTCTCTCTCTCCTCCCTTCCCCCCCCTTCCCGTCCCCTTCAGCCCCCTCTACAAAGGGGTACCTGTGTAATATCGACAAATAAGGATTTAAAAGGCCACTGGGAAATGCAGTAGGAGTTTGGGGGCGGAGGGGAAGGTAAAGAAAGGACCCCAGGAAGGGGACAGGCTGCTCTCTGTTCCTGGCGCCACTACCCTTTCTCTCTCCCCTGCCTTCGCCGCTAGCAGGGCTCCTCACAGACACACCCGGGTGAGGGGCACTCCACGGCTTCTGGTCGAAATGCGAAAGACCAAGATTGGGGCGCGTCCCTGTGCGTGTGTGAGCGCGCGCATGCATGCGTGTGATCCCGCGGGTTTGGTGGGTGCGGTGGAGCGAAAGAAGGAGGAAAGTAGCAGGGCTGAGAGTGAGGGTGGGCGGGGAGGGGCCGCCCAGCCACTCCTCGGTGCCCTGAGAGGGTGCTTGGTAAAAATTGTGTTGCCCTTCTTTAGATGGCATGGAGCAGGTAGGAGGCTTTTCTTGGGGGACCCCACGATCTAGGCACTGCACCGGCATCAGGTGCAGCTCTCGCACTGTTGTGGAGGATAGTGAGCTCCGACGCTCGCGGACCTGCTCTCTGGGGGTGGAGACGGGATGCGGAGAACGCAAAAAAGGCGGCTGCTGGGGGCTGTCTGCTCACCGCCGGCCCCCTCCACGCGTCCTCCCGGCTGCAGGGGCGGGTGGTCCCCGCTGCAGGGACGGGTGGTGGAATGGCCGATGGAAGCCACCTCACTGCTCTCTACCTGCCGGTTTGATTCCTCCCTGCCTGGAGGAAAGGTGCGGGCGAGACTGACCCTCCCGTGAGTAGTAGAAGGCGGTGTCGGCAGAAGTCACACCTTCCGCCGGGGCCGGCGGGCTGGGGAGGAGGGCTGCCCGGGACTGGCAGGCTCCTCCTAGGGCTTTGCCCCTCTCGTGCTGAGCCCAGCCTTGTAGGTTGAACACCCCTGTCTTAGCCCCTGAGGAGATCTCCTCTCTCTGGGGCAAGGACAATGAATCAAGGGGGGATGTGGGGGGGGGGGAACCAGCGTCCAAAGGATAGTGAGCTCCTCCAAGGAGGGGGTCTATGATTTTTATTCTCTATTGTGCCAGGCACCTAGCACTGGTGGTGCCCAGTGAATATTTAGTAAGTGGCCACAGTCAACCAAGAAATGGGTTTGGTCAACTGTGAGGGGACAGATGCTGGTCACTGGGATGGGTGGAGTGTGTGGAGGGTGGGCACCACACCTGTGCTTTCTAGTGAGTGCTCACTAGCCAGGAAATCTCTGGGTCCCCTTAGGGGATTAGCCAGTCTTCCGGCACCTCCAGGGAAGCTTAGTACCTGAACCACCTGTGGCTCCTTTTGCCCAGAGATCAGCATGCACAGGGCACAGAGCCCACACACCCTCCCCAGGGACCCTGCCCCATGGGTCCTGCCAGGCCTTGCCTCCTGGACCAGGCCTTGCCTCCTGGACCAGTATGGGATGATTATTCAATGTGGCTGCAATCTGCACTCACTAACCAGGAAATCTCTCATTCCCCTTAGGGATTAGCCTGTCTTCCTGCACAGCCATTAGTGTTGATCTTTGCGGTTTAACACTCTGAGAAGAAAAGTCTTAATTCCTTTGTTTCCTTGTTCTTGCCAAGGCATGGGCTGTGGAGCTCTGTGGTCCAGATGTCACACTGTGCATTTCCTCCACCTGTGAGGTGGCAGGAGAATGTCTCCTGCCTCCATGGGGAGATACTGCCTCCTAGCAAAATGTAGGGGATCTGGAAATATTCTATAAATCTCTCAGTGACAAGACCTTGGACTAGAAGACAGAAAATGGGTCAGCTCTTAGCCTAGGATCAGAAAATGAGAAATATGGGCGTTCTAGGTCTGAGAGCCTTACTTTTTCCAAGTTGGAGGCTCACAGAGCACAGGTGACATTTGGGGAGAGTAGACACCATGGAAGAACTGCTCGGAAGGTACTGAGTGTATCTTCTGGTATCTGAAAATTTGATGAGGCTTTGAAAGTTGCCCAGAATTTCTGTTTCCAGGTAAACTAGATTGCAAACCCATTGCCTCTGTCTTCCTGTGTCTGCTTCTTTTACCTTCCTTCTTTGAACAATTCACAATATAGATGAAACTATTTCTCCCCTATTTATAGAAATCCCATTTGCAATTATGAGGCGGGTCAGGCTTATAAATATTTCCTACCAGATAAAATATTAATTAAAGATGTTTGTTTATGCTCTGAAGTTCTAACTAAAACTCTTCTGTTAAAAACAAGTGTTTTAAATATTTCCTCTCACAGATTCATTGTGTATGTTAACAAGCCCATCTGTAAACAGTAGATAGATATCAGTTAATGAATATTAATTTGCATGATTAAAGAGAACCACAGGCATGCCAATAATATGTCAAATAACTGTTTTGATTGATTACTAATATCACCCAGTTTACAAAACAAAACATGGCATTTGTAACACAGCTGATGCAGTCTCTTCCCTCAAGAATAAGTAGTCTTACTTGGGTATTTCTTGTGGTTTCTTCTGTTTCTTGTGGTTCCTTTATGTTAAAACACACATTTATTCACCACACACACATTCATTATTGGATATCAACCATCAATAAGTACTTACACTCACAAACTCTTTTGATTTGTTAAAGCCTTCTTGGAGATACTTTGATAGATGCCATGTGGGAAATGAAAAACTGTAAGGGTGGGCTTTGAGCTAAAATGCCTTACAGTCTAATTGTGAGGTCAGTTTATGCACAAGAAAAGTTAGCCAGCAAATTAGCAACTTGGGATTTTAATGTGTAGGTGCTAATTGGTTGGGCTAGAAGTGTGGTACTGAGAATAAGGCTGATAGAGCTGGGGGGATAGGAGCTGAGATCTGACTTCTGACTAGGGAGAGGGAGAAGCATGACTTTACTAGGTCGAGAGGCAGGGGTGTGAAAACAAGGGGGTGGCCCAGGCTCAGTGTGTCTAGGAATCTGACTTTCTGACTAAAGGGAGAAAGTGCTCCTGGGACAGGTGGTAGATAAGAGGCCAGGGAGATAAGAGGCTTTAATGAGCCAGGTGCCCACCACACTCTGAACTCTGCAAGGGCTTCACAGAGGTAAATGCTTTGAATCTTCTTAACTTCTAGAGGGAGGTAGTGTTAGAGCTTTTTCTCAGGTGAGGAAACTGAGCTCAGATAAATAAAGAGCCCTTTCTGGGGCACAGTGAATACAGAACGGGCTTGGGTCAACTCCAAAGTCAGACTGTAGCTATCATGGGTCAGTGTAAGTGAACACATATACAACACATGGCAGGATATGACACAGTAGTCAGGATTAGGTGGCTTGCAAAGAAGAAATTCAAAGTTTGATTTTCAAATGGTGAAGGTCAATAAAGGCTGAACCCTGTGGCTAACTGGAATTGTCCACGGAGGGAATGGATGCCTGGCTGTGAAGAGGAAGCTGGGGACAGAGGTGGAGCTTCTGGAATGTTCTACCGAGAAGGAAGGTTGAGACTTTCGGCTAGCTTTGATTTCAAAGAAGTGGAGAGAAAGATGGAACTGAGTTTCTAAAATCCAATTGCTTGGTCTGTCAAGATGTCATTAGTAACATGCAGGACATATCGAAGACGCCTCATCTCCACGCCAGGGCCCTGCTTTTTCCAGTAGATAAGTATCCCATCTGGGACTTGGAATCCCAAATCCACCTTTCACTGAATGTCACTGAATTCTGCTATTAGCACTCACTGTAGCTTTGGCTTTCCCGAAGCAAAAGCTTACCATTCCTGAAATTCCTCTTATTCAGGAATCCATGCCAAAGTACCAGAGAGAGATGTTTACCACAGTTGTCTGCACAGTCAATTTTATTAGTTTATTAAATCAACATCTGTGCTGCAGAGGGTAGATACAAAAGCTAAGAAGGCTCTGGACTGGGTCCCCAGCATGGATTTTTCAGTTAGTACACCACTAGGGGAAAGTGACTTTTTTCTTAACATTTGGTGAGGAGGCATAAAATGACAGAAAACAAACAGCTTTAATTCTTTATGAACGTATTCATAAAATCTCGTTTTACTCTGATTTCTGAAAAACTCCATGGAAATGTTGGACAGGCACCCACCTTCCCGCAGTGTCCACAGTGACCAATAGCACCACCTAGTGGTTGAAAGAGATTTCTCGTTAGGTAGACGAGATGATTATTTACTCCTTCATTTTTATTTTTAGCTTAAAAAATAATATATGCTTATATTTGATGCATCATAATGTTATAAATAGTTTATATTAAAACAAACCTCCTCCATCTCCAGAGGCCACCACTTTCATTTCTGCAATGTTTCTGCCTTGGTTTTATCACACATTTGTAAGAGACACAATTGTAACAATAATTACAGACATTACTGTTTTAGAAACTATCACTTCCTATCACTGAGGACTAACTTCTCATCAGTAAGGAATTTTCCATCCCTACACATATACATGTCCTTCCTGCTTCCTATGTGCCAATGGAATTATGTCATAATCAATTACTAATATTATTATGTCTATAAAATTCTACATGCATCTGATCCACAGTAGACCAGACAACTTTTTTCTTTCCTGCACAACTTTTTGTTTCTCCTGGAGTCAGTAATTGTCTCAGTTTCCTTAGTTTAGTTTTCTTTGTTCTCAGTACCAATCTCCATCAATCTTCAGTGGCCTATAAGATGTGCCAAGTATCCCATAGATTTTCTCTCCTGGAGTCTTCCACTTACTTTTTTTCTGGGTGGTCTGCTTCTTCCAGTAGATGAGCACCCCATCTAGAACTTGGGATCCCCAATCTACTTTTCACTGA